GGTCCAATAAAATTATGGTTTAATCACACTTTGCACCCTTGAAATATAGCCTTTATGCACTTTGCACCCTCGAAATTTTTTTAATAGCAGTTTGCATCCTCGAAGCACAATGAATCATGCGTAATGCACCCCGAATATTTTTTTTAAAGAATGAAGGTAATTTGATATTTTTATTGGTATCTTTTTAGGATGCCAAATGCCAAATTATTTTTTTATATTCATTAATCCTTTTGAAACTACAAAATGCAAAACTAAAAGGGTTAAATGACTTTAGCCCCATAAACTTTAACGCGTTTTGAACGTTATGCTTGAGTTAATTCCGTTTGAAGGGGGCGAAGGGGGTGCCCTAGGGGTGCGTTCGCCATGGGAGTTGTGGAGCTTGTTCTTGTGAATGTTGTTTTAAATTTCGGATTTGAAATGCCAGGTGGCGTGAGCAGAGAAGATCCGGATATGTGTGAAGGTGATGGATTTACTATTCATGGAAAATTTCCTTTTAAGGTTATTGCTAGTTGTGAATCCACCTTAAATCTCTAGTTTATTGAATTCTAGATATGAGTATGATATTTATGCATATATAAGTTGTTTTCAGGGTTTTTTTCTGCAAAAATTATCCCTGTATAATATCGAATGGCCGAAAAAAACCTCGTTTTAAAATGATTTTAGCAAAAATCCCTATGAAAATTAGTCAAAGGCAATTAGGACCTTGACAGCTTATTGTGTGTTGTACGTGCGGATTTTAAGCCTGGTGTGTGTATTTTTTATGGGGGAATTGGTTAGACACCTCTTATTCTGCACTTATATAGGTAGAAATCTTAGTTGCTAGATGAATATAGGCATAGGTCATTTATGACAAAAAAAATAATATAAATAAAATAAAACAATTAGTATATGGACATAAACACTCTCAATTAATAAGAAAAAAAATCTCATATATCACTCCCTCTCTCTCCAATCTTACGTATCTCTCCAATCTTACGTATTTTTTTCCTATATAATTTATCATCTTTCTCTTCCTCTCCATCTCGTGTCTCTTGCTTTTTTCTTCTGACTTTTTTTTTCTTTTCGATCAACACCTTTTCGATTTTTTTTTTTCCGATCAACTTCTTTCTTTCTCTATACCCTTTCTCGATTACATCTGTTCGATTTCTTTTCCCTTTGGAATTCGAATTCTTTTGGATTATGTTGTAGGGAAGAAAAAAAAAATGGGAGCTTCACATTATTAGATGATTTTTCGGTGAAAGAGTTAAAAGCGGACAACAAACATAAATCGCTCTTTGCTTGCACAAAGTGAATTTTTTTTCTCGTTTTGTATTTATCTGCAGTGAGTTTATAATGTACGTCTGTATTTTCAATTGATTTTGGTTCAATAAATAGCAAAAAACAAAAAAATGAAACAGCAAAATCAAATTGCAACATTAAACATAAACTGCAAAATACAACCGATAACAGTATATTTTGTTGCAAACTCCAAATTGCAATTTTTGCATTAATAGAATATTTTTTATAATTTTATTGTTGTTTTTTGCATTTTGATGATATGTATGATATTTTTTTTTTGTATTTTTATTTTTATTATTTACATTTAGATATTGCATATCATATTTTCATTTTATTGTTTGTAATTAGATAATGCTGATTTTTTTACTTGTTCAGTTTTCTGTTTGCATTGGGCGAATTCATAGGTAATTTGTTGTTTTAAATTCAATAATGAAAGTTTTAATTATTAGTTTGCTATTTGCATTTTACAAACAATTTCTAAACAGCAAACGGCACAAAGGCAAATTGGGACACAACAAATCGAACGAAGGAAAACGGAATGAAGGCAAACTGCAAACGACTTTGTAAAATGCAAACGCTCAGACACCCAAAACCTATGGAAGGCTTCAGAATTTGTGGAGATTTTGGTTTTGAAGAAACAAGGAAGAAATCGATATCAAGAGATTTGCAATTCTAGTTTTTGGATTTGCAGTATAATAGGGAGAAAAATAGGGGATTTGATTTTGAGGATTTATTTTACCATATATTGACAGGAGTACTTTTGATAAATACAAATAATAAAATCTGCTGAAAATTAGAGTTTATTAGATGGATTTTAACACATATAATCTCTTATAGGAGGATCTATAGCAAATTGCCCCATTTTTTATCCTGGAAAGACCAAAATATCATTTCAATTAGGGGTGAGAACGGGTCGGTTCGGTTCGGTTTTAGGCACAAACCGGAACCGGAACCGAAGTGTTCGGTTCCTAAAGAACCAAAAACCAAACCGATCGGTTTCTTGCGGTTCAGTTCCGATCGGTTTCGGTTCGGTTCCTTCTCGGTTCATAAAATTCTCGGTTCGGTTTCAATAATGGTTCGGTTTTCGGTTCGGTTTTGGGCTCATTTGGACCCGAAAATCAGCAAAAAAACGTCAATAAATCAACTCAAAATTCAGAAATAAAAAAAAATCAATAAAAAACAAGTCCAAATGTAGGCCCAAAACATGCCCAAAAATCAATGAAATTCATTCAAGTAAAAATATATATATATATATATTTAATGAAACGACGTCGTATTGATGTCGGTTCGGTTTCCTACTTGGAAAACTGAATACGAACCGAAATTTTCGGTTCGCATACAATTGAAAACCAAGTATGCGGTTTATGCTTTGGTCCGGTGCAATTCGGTTCGGTTTGTCAGTTTTCGGTTCGGTTCCTCGGTTTTTTTTTTCTCACCCCTAATTTCAATTATAAATTTCAGAAATTACAAATTCACCCCAGAAAAATTAAACCCCAAAATGAAGTTTTTCAAAACTTTCAATTCAGTCCTTAGCACTTCCAGAAAAACCATCTTTCTCCAAATTAACTCATTTTTTTTTTCTTTAGAACTCTGTAAACACTGCTTCGTACATGGAAAACTTCATAACAAACGATAAAAAATAGAGTAGCCATGAAAACCAAACCAAAAACGGGAACTGAAAGCTTGAACACGAAATTACTACAAAAATACAACTAAATTTGAAGTTTCCTTCAGAACCGCCACGGCCACGGCCACCACCGTAACCGCCTCCACCACGGCTGCTGCCATAACAACCTCCCTCATGGCGGCCATATCCACGGCTGCCATCGGAGACGATTTTAGTTACTCGTAAATGGTGGCTCTTCGATGTGCGGCAGTGGATGTACAATATTAAGGTGTTCGATTTTAGTTTTTGGTTTTAGGTTGGGGGAGGGGTTTAGACATGGCCATGGGCTGGGCCGGCTCTAGCATGCTGGGGGCCCTAGGCGGAGCGAAAATATTGGGCCCTATAATTAAAATATAGTTTTTATTTTTTTATTGATGCAATGCATTAATTAATGCAAAAAGAATAATATAAAACAAAAATAAATTTTACCAAACTACAATAGTAAATGAAAATATTCTTTATTGTAGGACCAGAAAATTTTGTATTAGCGCACAAGTAAATTCACAAGGTTGCGGTTTTTGTAAAAATATTTACATAAACAAATTCAAATTCATCAACAATATTTTTTTAAATAATAGAACAAATAAAAAAATTGAAATTGATAAATTTTAATTCAATATTAGAAAAACGAGTGAAATTTTAGTAACAAGTAGAAATTTTAGGGTGTTTATAGTATAATTAAGTAATTAACTAACAAAAAAATGTTTATTTTTAGTAGTTTGATTTTTTTCATCACATTAAGGTCGATCTTAGGATATTGGGGGTTGGGCGAAGCAAAACTTGGGCTCTAATATTATATACATATGTTTTATTTTGTATAATTTTTTTTTAATAAATCATAAAAGAAAAGTGAAAAATAAAATAAAAATCAAATGTGTCTACCAAAAAAAATAGTATAAAAATCAATGAAAGGCAAAAAAATAAGGAAAAGGTTATAACACAACACATTTTCACCTATTGAAGTCAAGTGGAAAGAAATGGGGATAATGATTGAGTGATAATATTTTAGTTAAAGTAACCGAGGACCCACATAATCAAATAAACATATATTATTAATTGTCTATTATATTAATTAATTGAGGGGCCTACAATAAATATAAAGTTTATAATATAAAAAATTAATGTCTAATGTATACAAATTTTTTATATAATATATAATAAGTATTAAATAAAAATTAAAAAAAAATGTACAGGTGGGCCCCCACTTAATGTGGGGCCCTAGGCAATTGCCTAATTGGCCTAGTGGTTGAGCCGGCCCTGGCCATGGGCCGGTTCGGAAGATTGGGTCCTACTATAAACCCGTCATGGACCCCGTCTATCATGAATCGGTCGAAAACCAACAAGTTTGGTTCTTAAAATCAAGAACCGTTGGTTGACGTAACGAGAGTGGGTTTTGCTGGAACCCGCAAGTTTATGACCCGCGCACACGCTTAATTTTTTGGCCTTTTGCTGATTGAATTCTAGGGATTTGGAAGAGGAAGGTTGGATCTTTTTCGAAACACATAACAAGAAATTTAGTAGGCAAAAATTAAAGACAATAAAACGAACATCAATTCATCGGCACAAACACCGGCCGTATCGTTAGGCCATTTGTTCGGTTCGGGTGGCGCTTCATCAGCTAAGACTGCAAACACAACACACAAAACAGTTCCGTTGTTCTCCGATTAAAGAGGCGCCCACGTCGGCTCTCTGTTTAGAGATGCGTTAAGTTGGGAGCCCACATACACCTGCGAGAGATTTGGATTGTTACGGAACAACCAATGGGGGAGACACGTCAATCCCTCAATTCCTTCAATATCGAGTGTCGTAAGCGAGACTAGTCGCCTGCATATACTTGCCAGAGGTACTCCACTGTCCACGTGAGAAATCTGCAATTCTTTAAGGCATGGACTTTAAGGCATGGAAGTGACTCGGAGCACTCGTCAATTGCCTGCAGCTGTTGATCTTCAATTACTCGATCGAGGCGAGGAAATACCATCATCATTTGAGATGGCCGTCGATTCTCGGTTGTATTTGGCACCAGCTCTGCTTCAAACCACTCTGTCAGCTCCCACATTTATACCAACTCGAGCCTTTCGAGTGCCGGGAATGCGGTAATTGTAGTACCGGATGTGCTGCATTTGTCGATTCCGTAGAACGACGAACCTATGGATTTCACATTCTCCAGGTTAATCAGATAAAGATTCTTCAAATTCGGCAAGTGCCCTAGCGTCGGAACTTGTTCGCAATCCGTGCAATCTTCAAGTGTTATCTTTGTCAAATTATTAAGTCCCGACATCGTTGAACACCATGGTGGCAAACGTCTCCCTCCGAATCCCCAAATGTATAAGCCCTTTAGATTCGGGTGGGGTTCGAGGCCTTCCAACACACTCTCGTCGCCGTTTTCACCTTTTCTATTTTCAATACTCCACTCAAGATTTAACTTCACTATGTTTGGCTTTCGTAATAAATCCGCTCTCTTAGTCATTTCTTTGCCACACACCTTTTCGAGATTATAAATCTGCAGTTCCCCTTGGAGATTTTTCAAGCTTCCGAGCTCGTCAATTCCACAACCGTTTTCATTGCTCACTCCAAAGTACTGTATTGTTCGAAGAGAAATTAATCTTCCCATCCCCGGATGCAGTTCTATTCGAGGAACGTGAAGATGTCTCAAGCTCATTAAGTGCTCCAATGTATTCGGTAGCTTCTTCAAATCGTGACATGCTCTTAACGTCTGCAAGTGATAAAGTTCGGTGACAGATTCCGGCAAATATTTAATTCTTATGCCTGAAATATCAAGACATCTCAAGTGTATTAGCACTCCGATCGAACTTGGCAACTCTTCAACGCAATTGCCCATTAGAATTAAAACATGCAACGATTTGAACTCCGAGAACATGCAAACGCATATTTTATCATTGGACAATAGTGAACGAAGAGAAATTGCTTGTTCATTTAGGATAGCACGCGATTCACCGCTAGTAGATGATTGCAGGCCTATGTACCGAACTTGCTCGCTTGAATTTAAAATAGACGATGCTAGATCATGCACAAGATCGTGCATGTTATAATACATTATATAGCCATAATAGTCGTTTCGCCCCACAACTTCTAACAACAAGGAGTTTTGTAAGAAAATATTAAGGAAATTGTTGCCCACAATCTCCATATCAGTTCCTTCAAGAAAGCCCTCTGCCATCCAAAGTTCGACGAATTTTTCCCTTTCCAAGTTAAATCCCTTAGGAAATATCGAACAGTATGCAAAACACTTTTTCAGTGTTGTTAAGTGTATATTTTTACACTTTATCGTACCTTTTTTGTAGCACCCCCCTTCTTATCGGGCGATAAATCGAACCAGTTTATCGGAATATTCATTTTTCTAGCAGAAGCAAAAGGATCTCTTTGTAATTTTTAAAACTTTGGAATGGGACTAAAATGAAATTATTAAAAATCTCTTCTTTAGAACATTTAAAAACCTTTTTGTGATTTTCAAAAACTTTCTTAGGAGGATTATTGTTCGAGTGCTACACTATCAAGCTATCGATTTTGGTTCGAAAAGAAATCAGAGTTTTGAAAAGGTATTTTGGTGAATATTTTGAAAACCACTAGTGAGACGTGATAATAACAAATTTATTAAAAGGACTACTTTGTAACAAAAGTCAAGTACAATCCATACCGGGTTCGAGTTCGAAAGATCAAAAAGGGAAATACTTAAATTTACTATTATATCACCAAAAAACCAAAATTCTTTAGCATCGTTCATAGGTCCTCGTACAACTTCCAAAAATCCCGGGCAAGACCTCGATCCGCTACTCGATCCATTCCGGTGGAGGGTTACTAACACTATTACCTGCAATTAAAAGGCATCTATATGAGCTATAAAGCTCAGTAAGAAATCCGATGAAATATCAAACTTTGAAAATACGTTATATATAATATATAATATATATAGTTATCCATACTCACATTCCAAACAACACAACACAAACTGTTAACCACATGGTTCACGAAAACACATATTCACACATAAACACTTATGCAAAATGACTAAAATGCACGTTTTATGAAAATCGTGTAAAAATCATTTTTCGTTTATCGGATCCGTGAAAGATTAATTTCTGTACCTAGCAATAAACTATAAAGCGTTTCGAGCCCGTTTTATAAAACCACGTATTTCATCCTAGTTGGATACCGGCCCACCGTATCCCGTTTATTCACTAAGCACTAACATCTGTGCCTAGCAATAAACTATAAAGCGTTTCGAGCCCGTTCTATTGTGGAATCAAACCATGTATTTCATCTTAATCGGATACCGGCCCACCGTATCCCGTTTATTCACTAAGCATTCCATTAATCTTTCAATTTTCAAAATAATGAAATGCAATTTTTCGAAATCATGCTTATGACCCACACATAACATCACAAACGTCAATCAAGTGCCACAACATCACACAAATATCACAATTTACCACATATTTATAATTTGGGGCAAAAATCCCCAAATTCACACACGGCACACACACATACACATTCAGCACATACACACACACTTACTCAGCATACACACATGCAGTCACACATCAAACCTCACCATTTAACATTCAAACCATGCTTGCAAAGCAAGTACCCCTTTTCACCTTTCATTTAATAAACTTATTACCACACCTAGGTAACAAGCCATTCAATAAATCTCACAGAAATTAATCCACATCCAGGCAGCAATTAAAAGTATAAAATACCCAAATCTCATCATTCATAGACATTCAATTAAAGACATGAAAATAAAGGCACAAAAACATGATAAATGACGTGCAAACTATCCTAATTTCGAAATAATAGCAAACTAATTCCAAAAATTCTCAAATTAAATCCTAGAACTCCTAACTGACCCAAGTTTCAGATTCTGAAATTATTTTAAATTTCCACAAAGTTTCGAATTTTCTTGAAATTAAAACTAGAAAATCCCCTTTTTCTTTTAAAAATCGAAACCTCTAATATAACCTTAATTACTTTGAAAACCTTTGTAAAGAAAACCTTTCCCCATTTAATACTTGCTGGAAAAACAGATTCAAACTTTAGAAATTAGAGATTTTTCAGAAATTGCAGTTTTGACCCCAAAGTTTCAACATTTACACATGCAACCACACTAAAAGTTCAAAATTCACTTTTTCATGAAAAAACCCTAACAATCTGAAATTTTACTTTATTAGATGCAGAAATCGAAGTTGAAAAGTCACTTTATGCAGAAGTTCTGAAAATTACATATTTTACCCCAAAATCTCTAGATCTACACATGCAATACCACCAAAAGTTCAAAAAACCACCTTTTTCTTACAAACTTCCTTAAATCCGAAATTTTTGTTTAATAAATGCTGAAAAACAGTTTTGAAAACACATTTAGGACTGACTCCTCAAAAATTACAGATTCGGCCCAAAACTTTTGAAGATCTATACATGCAACCCCATAAAAGTTCAAATTTCATTTTTCTTGAAAACCCCTTTTTGAAATCTGAAATTTATAATGCTTTTGGCCAATGAAAGTTGTATCTACCCACTATTAACATAGATGATGCATGCAAGAACAAGAAATTAACAAGAAACACCCATTTTCCATTTTTCCCCAAAAAGCCCTAAATTTTCGAAAACATTCCCAATCTTTTAAAACTTTATGAAAACCATTTTAATACTATTGATGCCATTTAATTGCAGCAAGAAATCGAAACTTCTTACCTTAATAACCGAAAGAAAAGTGAAGGAAAATGCTTCAAAGGATGGTGCCAAGCTCTAGCCAAATTATTTTGATGGTGAAGGAGATGGAGTGGAATTTTAAGTGAGATGTATATTTCTTTGGAGGATGGTGTTTTAGGCTGCTACAAGTCCATCATTAAATAGAGGACTTTTAAAATGATTTTTTTCATTTTCTTTAAAAATTGGAAGTGAGGTGGAAGAAGATGAAGAATGGAGGTGGTGGTGTGTCTTCGGTGGAATGAAGAGAGGAAGACAAGCAAGGGGGTGATGTGGAAGAAGAAGTAGATGGAAGAGTGTAAAACTCGACTATGTGCCATGTGCAAGTAATTAAATAATAATTTAATTAGTCACCTTTTTGACTAACATACACACTCACACGGCTATACATATACATATGTAATATAATATTATATAATCAAGCAATGTATGTAAAATCTATGTATGTATGCATGTATGCATATACATGTATGTTATCAAGTAAATGCCTATATTGTATATATAGGATAGTCTAGAGTAGTGTATTATCACACTTAATTAATCAAATATAGCATATAATATTCTAATTCACATAAATCACATAAATTGCTAGCAAATAAATCTACCAATTAAATATAGCACATAAATAATTCACATAATTAAATTCACGTAAGTCATGTACAAATTATCACGTAATAATATTACCTAAGGATTCTCGAGTTAGGAATATTAATTTCGGGTTTTAAGGTTTTGGAAAGGTGGGGTGTTACATTTTTATTTGAGCTTTTGGTGTGTTTTAACGATAATTGGTGCTTAAAAAGTTGATTTATTGTATTTTAGGTAGAAATTGAAGAATTGGAAAAGTATGGGGTCAAAACTGCAATTTTGGAGAAAATATGGGCCAAAAGTGAAAAAATCAAAATTCTGAAGATTTAAATCTCGGACGGCTGTCCGAGTTTTAGTTCAAATTGTGGGACGGCCGTCCGAGACCCCGAGGCAGCGCAATAAAGGGATTTTAATTGCACAAGGAAACTGCCTTCTTTCCCAAGTTCTTCACCCTATATAAGACCAAGCCAAGCACACAATTGGGGATCTTTTTTTACGCAATTTCAAGAGCAACAAAGCAATAACGAAGACGAAGAATTCAAAGACTCCAAGCGAAGATTTATGGTTTATGATTTATTTTATTTGCGTTTTTTCTTTAATCATGAGTAGCTCATTTTCTTATTTCTAGGATTTTATTTTGAACCCTATGTGGGATTTATGAACCATTTTCTATGATTTTATGCAAGTTTTAATTCCGGATTATTTCTTCTACTTGTTTTATTAAGTGCATGAACTTGATCACCTTATGTGCTTTTATGTTATTGTTAATCGCATGAATCGGAAGATCGGGTTAATAATTAGAACTGTGGTAGAAGAGCATTTGTGGTATTAACATAGGAATATAGCTAATCTCTTAGGTAGCCATTATTGAGATTTGTGCTTAAGGTTGTGTTCTAGAATTAATTGCGTAGGAATACAGTAATTGAATCTAGAGTATTAGAATCGTAATACACACAGAAGTGGGTTATGATTAATTTAGCATCTCAGGTTAATAATCCAGGTTAATTACTTGCATAATTGAAGGAATTGGGGGAATAATAATCACATAGGGGGAAGAATAAAATCCTAGGCTTATTTACTCTGATAGATCTTCGTGTTTAATTTGCTTTCTCGCTTTGTCGTTTTAATTTGCTTTAGTTTAGTTTAGTTTAATTTAGTTAATTCTCTCTCTAGTCGGGTGGGCTTGATAATAATTGCTAAAATTTAGCGTCTATGATTAGTAATTAAAAATTCCATGTGGGTTCGATATTCGGACTTTAGTCCACTATATTACTTGTACGATACGTGCACTTGCGTGTAGGTTTTCGGCCAACAAGTTTTTGGCGCCGTTGCCGGGGAATATATTAATTATTTATTTTTATTCTAGCTCTAAATTTGAACAATTTTCACGATTCACCCAAATTAATTTTTTTTTCATTTTAGCTTTTCGTTTTAATTTTCTTTAATATATTTTTTTTTCTTTGGTTACATGTCAAGTTACAATTTTTGCGCACCTCAAACGGGATATGAATAGCTTCCGTCTGGCGAATACCTCCAAAATACCTATGATATGCCGTCACTTTGTTCAATCTGTGGTGGAGATCATTACACTAACCAATGTTGGTATGCACCGAAAGCGAATAATTTCATAGATAACACCAACGGCGGTTATTGGAACACATACACCAACACGCCACGAGAACCCACTGTTCAGGAGTGTTATTTGAACTCCGTCCTTGAAGAATTTATGAAATCCACTCAAGCATCTATCCAAAGACTGGAAATAATGTTGGAAGAGATGAAGCTCAAGAGGTCTCTTGAAAATATTTCAGACAATATCGAGAATGGTTGCAACAAAGAAAATCTGTCAGAAACTTGTAGTGAGGAAAA